CTCTCTCCACTTACTTTCGAGACACCTGATATACAACACTCGATTGGAAAACCACAAGGAAACATATATATACTATACAGTTGAAAGCATCACTGCACTTCGCATCCCTTTCTATAACGCTTCGGCCAAAATCACTACTAATGCCCCGCTGTTCATTGGCAAATGAGTGAACAAATCAATTCATCCAGACCAATTCTTGCTCCTCACATACACCGAGACACCACGTAATGAAAATAACTACGGCCGTCAGTTCATAACTTGGATATCACCCTCTCCCAGCATATAAACCAGAAAATGCTATTAATTCTAAAGCCACCTAACTGCCGTAAACAAGACCATGCATGCGACGCTAGCACGAGACCTGAGCTATCAAGGCACTCGTAACATGTGTCATGACGCCAAATTCAAATGTAACCCCCCTATGCCTTCTTTAAGCCGAGAACGCAGCGTATGCTCTGGCATACACCTCAGTACGTACGGAGGCTCGCACGACTGACATTCAATAGAACAGAGAACAAAGCTTTCATTTTTCTTTTAGACGAAATTGACTCATCACAGCATGTGTCTACACCTGAACAAGTGACCGGGAGTTGGCACCGTGATGGGTGGAGCGCTGCAATCACTAGTGCAGGCATACACACGTGAAGTCACAGTGGCAAAACTAAGGCATTGGGTTGCACCTGCAACATTCATATTTGCACTGCTCTTTATGTACACTTATGGCTATTTATACAGCTATTGATTGCTCGATTTGAAATGAGAAGGGGAAGGTGCACCATATGAAACAATCCTTGTGTAAATCAAAATATGAATAATGCAATTACAGTTGACACAAGAATTAAGCTCAAATGCTTTTCATGGTCATTCTCTAGAGTACACACCAATTGAACCTTTTAAACCTGGCAATCTAAATTCCGCCACACTTGCCTACTTGTTAATCTATCTATAACAGTAACACCATGAGAGGAAGGTTGCATTGTTTCCAGGAGCTATCATAGCTACTTTTCATGTGCTAGGGAAGAGAGTACTGATCCATTTCAAATGAGTCCTTTAATATTTTTACTAACAAATACTAAGCCTTTACCACTTACGAGATCGACGTAAGCTTATATGTAAGATTGTATAAAATGTTGCGATTTAACTATGTACTAGCTTTGATGGCTTGTAGATAGATCCATATTAACAAGACAGAGTCATGCATTAACTTCAGCAAATAAGTTTTCCTTTGTTACATTTAGTTAAACTTTATATTACTGCTGCATGAACCCATCTATTTCCTCCGCCAACATTGTTTGAGGAAAGGTTGTTTCCTCTCGGGTGTGATTCGTGTGTTAGTGCGTGTTTCTCACCGCTCGAATATTAGCGCGTCCGAAGTCACGCGAGCAAGCCAACGCAGCCGAGCCTAGCGAGCGTGTGGACATGTTCAGCGGAACAGCAGTCAAACGAGCGCTGCTATCGTAGCGAGCGAGCACACTGGCGTATATCGTCGGTTATTCGTGAGTCGTATGGCGTATGTCGCTGGCGGAGGTATGCACTCTCCGTGAGTGCACTCTGTCTAGTTTTCAATGTAACTATGCACGACTAAAAATACGGAGAACATGCATCAGCACGTAGGAGAAATAAATATCAGAATGATAAATCATGAGTGCTAAACCTCATTTTACCTTTAAAAAAGAATGACAACAACTGGATTACATTATAATTGGCATGCCATCTGATATATAATAACCACCAGTGATAATAAATGATTCATACTTTTTATGGTACATAGGTATGCAGGGATCCCTCTGGATGTTTTAAACTGTTGTAGCATTTGAATTAAGTTTTTGAAAATGTAGTTGTTTAGCGAATAGTAAATGTAGAAGATAAGAATGCAGTTGGGGTACAACAAGACGAAAAGAAGCTGGCAAACCAATGGGTTCAGAGATATGATAATAGCTGTACGGCCCAGTTTGAACACAGGAACTCGGAACATTTCAATAATAAAACTATGGTAAATAAACACAAAATGTAGCCTATTTACTACCAGTCTCAATGTTTCTGCTTTCTTTCGTCTATTATTACTGCCAATTTCCTATAAATGCCGTTCAAAGGGCGCGAGTTTTCCGCAGGAATTTACCAGCATAGACACTACAGTCTGGGTAAATTGGCAGTGTCGTACCCAAACTTGGAATCTGCACAAATCTGCACAATCTCGAGATTGTGCAACGATTGTGCTGCCCAAACTGCGGATTTCCTAGTTTGGCTGACCAATCTCAAAATTGGGCAAACTGAAAACAGTCGGTGATTCAACAACCGCTCATAGCGAGTGTGTGGCGTGCGTGGTGCAAACTAGGAAGAGATTTCTCATATTTATCCAATTATTTATTATATAATCATTTAATATTTATACAATTTACAAAGGTGCCAAACACATTGAGGAAAGAAGGTATACGACCTTATAGTTATGATATAACATTTGAAATCCTAATAATCATATGTTTGTGCAAGCTCTGTTTACCTCTGTTTGCCCAATCTCAAGATTGGTTGCCAAAACTGCAGATTCGCTGAAATTCCAAGTTTGTGCAAGATTCCAAGTTTGGGCACAACAGGAACAGCAGTGCCAGTTGGCAAAATTATAATTCGAACAAATAATTAAACATTTAGCTATGCATAGATACCTGAATGGAGGCAGTTAGTTGTGCATTTGTGCTGTGATTGTACAAAAACGAAGCGAGCGTGGTGCGAATTTTGCGGTGACGCTTTTCCACCTGCTGTTTACTTTAATTTTGTTGTTTGTTAAGTCAGAAGTGTAAGTGACATGCGTGTGACGTTGTGTTGCAGAGGACCATCTGAACGGCATTTACAGGAAATCATCAATAATAATAGGCGAAAAAGAGTAGTGAAACATAAAGACTTTGGTAGTAAATGCATTTGAATTTTCGCATTTGTTTACCACCATTTTATTATTGAAACGTTCCAGTTTGCCAAAGTCCAGTGGCCGCGAGTTCGGCGTACATTTCGCGACCAGTTCACAGCTTTGTAATTTCGACTGTTCACAAACTTGACGACAACGACAACACATATCTCTACGTTAACTACAAATTTACCCATTCTCTGATGCATCAGGTCATATGGCAGAATAACATTTCGCATTTTAATCCTCGATATGAGTTACTGATAAGAACATTATAAAACTGCTAAACAAGTGAGGCGATGCCGCCATTTTCAATTCCCGGATGAGATGCTCCCAGGTAATAGATGGCGCAGCACGTCAAAAAACAAATTTGCTAGTAATGGATCAGGTTGTATTTGCACCCTTCCCACAGCTAATAAAACGTGGTATTTGTGTAATTTTACATCTTTGTTGTGTGGTTAGAATGAATATGGAGTTTTATTTTATTTAATTCACTTTTATTCTACATAAAACACTTTGCAATGGTGCCCAAGATTGCTTCCCTTGCTCTACTATGGCTTAGTATAGCACTAGTGCAAGGAAATGTTCCTGTACAGCAAAAATTTTGCAGGACAAGCAAAAATATCTTATAGCTTGTCCGTCGGACAAGCAAAAATTTCTCCTTATTTCGAACACTGATATATACATGATGGGAAACACAAGGACACATATATATATATACAGTTGAAACATCACTGCCTTCCATCCCTTCTATAACCTTGCCATCACTAGTCTAATGCCCATGCAATGAGTGAACAAATCATAGACAATTCCTGCTCTCACATACCAGACACAGTAATTTCTGCCCGGTTCATGATAGCACTCCCAGCAATAAACCAGAAATGCAGTAATTCTAAACACCTACTGCCGTAAACAAGACATGCACGCTAGGCACGAAACATGCATGCAAGGCACGTACATGTGTGCATGACCCAAATTCATGTAACCCCCTATGCTTCTTTAAGCCTAACCCTATGCCTCTGGCAATACACTCAGAAGTACGAGGCTCACACACTGACATTCAATAAACAGAGAACAACTTTCATTTTTCTTTTAGAGGAAATTACCATCACAGTCATGTGCTACACATGAAAACTGTGACCGTGACTGTGAGTGTGAGCCTGCAACACTATGCAGATACACACGTGAAGTAAACAGTGCAAACTAGGATGGGTGCACCTGCAACATTCATATCACTGCTTTATGTACATTTGCTATTTATACAGCTAACATTGATTGTCGATTTGAACATGAAGGGAAGTGCACATATGAAACACATCCTGTGTAAATCAAAATGTGAATATGCAATTACAGTTGACACAAGAATAAACTCAAATGCTTTGCATGGTCATTCTCTAGATACACACCAATTTAAACCTTTTAACTTGGCAATTAAATTCCTGAACTTTGCCTATCTTTGTATCTATCTATACAGTACACATGAGAGGAGGTTGCATTGTTCAGGAGCTATCATAGCTAGCTTTTCATCGTGCTAGGGAGAGAGTACTGATCCAGTTTCAATATCCTTTAATATTTTTATAAGCATATATCTAGCCACTTACACTTACAGATCGACGTAAGCTATAATGTAAGATGTATATGTTCGATGTAAGCTATGTATAGCTTTTGATGGCTGGTAGATAGTCCATATTAATCAAGACAGAGCATGCATGTACTCAAGCAAATAAGTTTATCCTTGTTACATTTAGTACTTTATATTACTCTGCATGAACCCATCTATTTACCTCCGCCAAACATTGTTGGAGG